CCCCCCTCCCCGCCGAGGGGCTTTTAAATGGCGGCGGGGGCGGCCGCGCCCGCAGCTTGTGGCGGAGCTTTGCGGCAGGGAGCGATGGTCTGGGAAGGCCTCTAACGCCCGGGATTGCAACCCCCTGAACTAGTGTAAAATACAATTTAGGCCTAGATTAGCTAGGCCAGGATTAACTTCCCCACTCTAAAACGAGCATGTACTTAAAAACTAGCTTAGGACGCCGGGACGTTCGCATGGAACATGTTAATTGGCTGGGTTTTGTGCTCTTAAGTAGCTGAAAGGCAAAGGTGCTCGTTAATGTTGATGCAGGCCAGGTGTCTGAAGTCCAGCAAATGCCGTTGTTGACGGTCTTCTTCGATACGGTGACAGTGAATAAGCAACACGTTCACAGAACGTCCCAGCGTGGGCATCTCCTGTCAGTAACAGAAGCATGAGCCTTGTTCAAGCTGTTACAGAAACCCCACCTAAATGTATATACACACAAGGACGTGAGGGCAGGTTTGTTGTAATGGAAGCTTTGGAAATTCACAAGTTTTTGACAAGACCATTTTTTTTTTTAAATGCTAGTATTTAAACGTTCAGAAAAAGGCTGTAAACCTTTAAGACACACGCTGCAAAGTATGAAACATGTCCCCCAAACTCTTTGTCTTATTATTTCCAGGTTCTCCTAACTTGCAATTGAATACGCTGAAAATATTAGTAGTTGGCATTGGTATCTGCTACCTATTTACTAGTAAGCAAAGAAGTTTCCAAGTGTTTTGATACCAAAATTGTACTCTAATTTACTTGATTTTAAAAAGGAGAATGTAAAACAATTGTGTTCAGAAATTTTTCTGACAAAGCTTTGCTTAACTCAGTCATATATTTGAGGATTGTATAGCTGGTTTATGGTTTTAGCTGTCTTTTTAATATTTCTTTCAGGCTGAAGCCATTCAACAGACTGCAAGTGATACTACAACATTTGGTAAGAACAGCGTCTTGTTTGACTGAGTTGGAAGCTTTTAGGACTCTTAGCTCCCCTGAGGAAGACAGCACATGCAACTTGTAATGTGTCTGCTCGCAGGGGTTCTGAATGCCATTGTTCATTGCTCGGGCATAATGCCCATGTCTTTGAGCACGTTGTTACAAGTTTCTATTATAGTGTAAATTAAAGCTTAATTATTTTGGCCTTACCTACCTTTACAGTTAATTTCTATGTTAGCTTCTGTATATTCCTTAAATATCATTCAACTGTGCATTTGAGATCAATTGTGAAAATACTTCAGTGATTTGTTCTCTACTGTCGAAAGTTACTTAAAGACAAAGCAATGTGTACATCTGGGTTTCCAGTGTCAAACTGCCAGTAGGGACACATGGAACTGTCATTGTTATTATTGTTGCAGGTATTTTTCAGAATGTCAGTCTTAAAGAATCATGGTTTTGTGTTTTAGTGGGTTTTTTGGTTTTTTTAATGAACCCAAATATCATTGTCAAAGTGTGTGTGGCTCAAAAACTTGTCTGAGGTTTATTACTTTAAAGGACTCAAAGTGGTTTCAAAAGAACTGTTTAGGAAATGCAAATTAAACTTGAAGTACAGTGGGAAAGCCTTAGCATACATTTCCAGAATACATGTTTTATGATCTTAAATAGTGCATTTTGAGAATATATTTCCATAAACACTCTTGTAAGTATGTTACTCAAGGTATCTAACTGATGACATATGCTTTATTTTTTTGTTTTTGCATGTACAGAAAATGTCTAAGCAAACAGATTCGACAGCTGAAGTGTTGTTGGAAAAGAGAGGAGGTGCAGCTATAATAACTTTGAATAGACCCAAGGTTCTCAATGCACTAACTCTTTCTATGATCCAACAAATTTATCCACAAATAAAGGTTAGTAGCTCTGCTTCTACCCATCCACTATACATACGTTATCCCAAACCAATTTTAAAATTCAATCTGACACTTCTTAGTGTACTGCTTTAAAGAATGAAAGTCTGTGTGAGTGCATTGGCCAATGAGCTCAGACTTATAGGATGGGAAAGAACAGACAGTTTCAAGCAAGTTAGAAAGAGGAGAAGGCACGTAGGAGAAACACGCTGTCTGACAAAGTTAAATTTAGCATCTTGATAGATAAAGAGACACCCATATTAAAACCAGAACTGAATTAAAAGGAAGCAGCGCTCAGTGTTTATATGCTCCTTTTGGCAACACCCAGCCGGTCAGTTGGCATGCACAAATTCCAAGCTATACAGTGGTGTTGCCTCTCGACTGGGTACACTTTTTGTGCGAAGGCTGTGTGGCTGAAATAAAAGATACAAGCCATTAGGAAGCAAAGTGCTGTCAGTGTCATTCCTTAAAGAAGAACTTTATGGATTTATAGGCACTGTTTCTACAAGCTAGTGAAGTAATGTGAAATTTTAAGCATGCAAATAATTCTTTTTAATTTAATGATGATGTTTATCATATGCACAAAGACAAACTAATTAGATACCAGTATTTGTTGGATAGTTGCCTGCCTTTTGGTATTTTGGTAAATGGTTGTGTTGCAAATTTATGCATTCTTTGAAGAACACTTAAAGAAAGAAATACTTAATCTGTAGTGCTGAGTACTGGGGTTTATTTGAAGCACAACCTTAAAAGGTGGTGTAATTTTAAGTACAGTTGCTGGTATACAGAAATGTCTTGTCTCTTTTTTATCTGTGTACACTTACTTGAATAAGGGATACATAAGCATAGTTTAGAGGAGGGGGAAAAAGCCTGTAAAAGGCATCTTTTTTTCAATATGGTTGCACCACTGCTGAAGTCTTGTACCAGTGTAATTCAGGAAAAAAACCCATAGTCTTTGTACGTAGCAAAACATCTGTGCGCAAATTGATTTGATCCAGTCTCAGTTAGATTGCAGTCATTTTGACAAAATCCATCAACAATTTAAATGCTGTTTTCCTTGCCATGCATCTTAGGTTTACACAACTTTCGTGATTTGGCCTGAAACACTGTTGTTATATCTTCCATACTGTCAGCTTTCTGCCCCAGCATTCTGTTCCCATTGAGATTTATGTCGGACCCTGTTTTAGGGAGTGCTACTTTTCTTCAGAGATTGGGAGCTCTGCACAGGTGTTTTTCTGAAATATGTGAGGCAGCTCTGCTGATCTCCAGTGTCAAGGTTGAATAGGACACAGGGGTGGCAGAAAGACCGTTAGCTCTCAAACTTCAGTTTAAGACAAACAATTTTAAGATGGTTTGATTTGCTTTTTGAAAATGTAAAATAAGAATTACAGACAGTATACAGAGAAAGCATTTTTTGCACGGACTTTAATCTTACATGGAAACACTTCTTTTTAGACTTGGGAGCAAGATCCTGAAACTTTTCTAATAATTATAAAGGGAACTGGAGGAAAAGCTTTTTGTGCTGGGGGTGACATCAGAGGTAAGGACTATAGTCACTTAAACATTTGACGTGTCTTTTCCCGTTACTGCTTTGCATTGATTTCCTTTATTTACTGTGACTCAGGTAAACAGAGGCTTGCTATACAACAGTAAGAGAGATTAGTTGTGTTGACTGACTTCTTATGACACCTTGATGTGCACATGCTATTTAGGTTATTTGTCAGGAGACAGATGTTGGAACATTGTATAAAAGAGTAAAAACTGGGTTTTTATGAATAACTGGTAATAGCAGCCAGACATTCCTAGGAAGAGAAGGTTCCTGTCTCTATCTTTTTTTCCCAGATTTTCATTACTGACAGCTTCTTTACAAGAAATTTGAAGGGTCCTAATAGGTAGCTCTGTTACTATTGGATAATTTGTCTGATGTTTGAGATGGCTAGATACAGAGCTGACAATGGTGATCAATGTATCTGTGATTATTTTGTAACTGTGAACTGTAAGAAATCTCCGAACTGTGAAAATTAGCAGTTGTTTTATATTTTAGGTAAACAAGCAGCACAGGTTATTGTTAAATTATGTCCTGCTCTAATTGGCTTCTCATTTTTAGTATTCAGAGTCTTCAATATAACCAGTTTTAAGTGATTGTTCTATATAATGATGCAAAATATCACAAACAAGACTACCAGGCATTAGGAGGGCTTCCATAGCATAGAAAATGGACTGCACTCTCACAAGTATGTGACAAAGTCTCCAGCATAATATAATTGACTCAAATTTGATACTTTGCATTCATATTTAAGTTTGAGCAAATTTTCTCAAATAAAACAAAGTAGGATTAAGTTGCTGTTTGATTGCTGTAGGAAAAAAAACTGTTATCATGTGATACTAATTTTTTTTGCTTGTATTTTCTATTAAACTTATAGTTATCTTTAGGATTTTTATTTCTCTTAAGCTATTGCAGATGCAGGAAAAGTTGGAGATAGACTGGCACGTGATTTCTTCAGAGAAGAATATATCCTGAACAATGCCATTGGTATGTTTAATAGCAAATTCTGAAGCAGTACAGTTTTCATATTAGTTGCTTTGAGTGTAAATTCACTTTCTCTCTTCGCTAATCTATAAAAGACTCTGATAACATAAGTAGTAATTTTTTTTTTTTACCAAGTTCAATACCAGTAGTGTAACGTATCTCATTGTTATACCTTGCATGCAGAATTTGTTTCTTTTGTTTAAGCTATTATGATAGCTACCTTATCCCATCCCATTGTTCTGGGTAGTTGTATTTCCATTATGGATTAAGTCTTGGATGCAGACAGTGCAATTCTGCACTAAGTATCATTGATCTACTTCAAAGAAGACCCGAGATAAAAATAGATGCACAGAAAATCATTAGTATTCAGGCAGAAAGCAGAAGATCAAATTATGTTAAAGCTTTCCATTTAAATAAACTGCATAAATGAATACGCAAGCTAGGAGTTAACTGCCTTAGTTTATTGCAAAGAACAGAGGAGTATGTGGTCTTAAAATAACTAACAGCAAAGACACTCTGTACAGTTTAGTGGGGTAAAGGATATTAAGACAAGGTTTAACCTTTAGGGTAAAAGTCAATAGTTGAGTGTTTTGGTGAGAAGAAACTTCTCTAAACATACTTTAATGGAATACAGTTTGAGTTTTTTAAACATTGCATCCAGTGTTAGTCACTACAGGAGGAGAGGTGAACATCTTGCAGATCAGCTTAGGTTGACAGAAGAGCATAGAGTTATTAGAGTAAGAGTAATTTCTGAAGTTATTTTTACTTTGACAGAGTTTCTAGTCTTAGCATGTTTGTCATGTACCTTTCTTGCCTTCATCAAGAAAAATAGTTTTAGGTTTCATATACTTGGGAAAAACTAGTATTGCCATGGCAGTTGGACTATATGACTGTTGTAGGTCCCTTCCAACTACCTATTCTAGTCTATTCAACTATTGCAAGGGTACATAATTTAGCAGCTTGGTTTTGTTTTGTTTTTTTTAAATGGTTAGGGTGTTCTCTGTCTATAATGCATGTAACTACAAAACCTAGATTTTTAACAACTTTGGTACGATTGTATTCTTTTAAGACTGACATTTCTGCCAAAAAGATTTAATTATATCTTATATTTTACAACTTAAAAATACACAGGGGAGCTGCTTTCACAGCATTTGCTATTGGGAAGGCATGCTTCTACAGAGATTTAGTTCAAAGACTAGCATCTAGAGCCCATGCATTAGCTTATATGTTCATGTAAGAACAAAGTTAAAAATGTAATTCTGTTATATTTTCTAACTGCTAATTTAAAGGATTGAACTGCCTTTTAAAATAGTTCTTTTTATAAACAAGGATCTATAGTTGCTGCAGAAAAGCTAGCAACATGGTTGCAGTGGATACCCATATCAGGAACATGACTGAACTTTTAAGTCTGACCTGAAAACACTGAATATGAGGCAGCAGTTTCATTCAGAGTGAACTTCTGAATCTTTCCATGAATGGTAATTGAAAGCATCAGGTTTTTAGTTTTATGCCTCCAAAAGGCCCCAACAGATCAAGTTGATAGATAAAACTGTGGTACTTTAGGACATTATCATCTCTACCTGCCTGTGCCATGTTCAGGGTTGTAACATGCAACAGAGTTGGCAAGACAGAACATGTTTGCATTGCAGTAGTTTACAGTCACATTTTGGCTGAAACCTACCAATGCATCTGGCTTTGTAGTGAAGTACTGGAGTGCTGGTACACACTGTGCTGTTACTCCAGGCTGTGAGGTGGGGTGAAAGGGAAAACTCTTGTGTCCCAGCATCCTACAAAGCTATTTATAATAGCCAGATGTGGCTAAATTGTCAGGTACTCACACAGCAAACAATGTGACATTTGATGGTTGTATACTGTTCTCTTACAATGCTCAGAATGCAGTAAATCAGTAACTGGTGTTTCTTTTCATTGCTTAAGAATTACATGAAGTACCTTCATTATAAGTTGATATTTTACTGTTTAATTTACCATTTATTTTCTGTTGCTCTTGCTGAAGTAAGACATGGGGAAATGTGTCATGTATACAGTTAGTCACAGGTTCACTCTTTTGAAAAAAATGTATATTTTTTTTACATTTCTTACAGGCACTTGCAAGAAGCCATATGTGGCACTTATCGATGGCATTACAATGGGAGGGGTAAGTTAAGTACCTTGGTGTGATATCTGATATAATTTGTTTTAAAGTAATGTAATATTCTGTACTTGAGTTGAATGAAGTGCACACGTGGTATTGCAAACAATTCATTGTAATCTGAACCTTTGTCTCTGCTTGTCAGCATAGATTGCTGCTCCTCTAGTGCTTCTGCTGTTCTTTGATAGCTAGTGCAACTGCTTTCTCTGAGGATCTGGTGACTGTGTTGAGAAAAAGAGGAAAATCCTGCCACTGTAGAAACAGCCCTCAAAGGTTTTCAGAATACTGAAATGCAAGTTTGTAAATCATAGAAGAGCTGAGAAGAATTCTCCACTCAAAGTGTATTAAAAAATAGAACTATATAAAAATACAATTAAAGGACAACTGTTTGAAAAATATAATTCTAAGCTATACTTTAACAGGCATTCATGAATTCTGTATTTTTCCAACAAATAATCTGGAAATACATCTACTTTCTCACCTCTGCAGTACTCCTAAAATTTAAGCTACAAGATCCTGAATTCCCCCCCATGCCCGGACCTTATTACTAAAGCAACATGGAGAAGACTCCATCACATTGCTAGTTATACTCAATGCTAGTAATTTTTCCAGCAATTGTTGGCTGTAAACACCATGAGCAGGTAGTTAAAAGGGCAGTACCATGCTTTTCTACATGCTAGTATGCTATTCTCTTTGGTTTGACATCTATTGGATATATTTACACCATAGCAGGGAGTAGAATACAATAATCTTAAGTTATGTTGAACAATGAGTTTGACAGTGAAGTCCGTCTGCCATATTATCACTTAAATTTGTATTGGTTTTTGCACATCAGTATGATGTGGGTATACAGACTATTTAAGTTAAGTTTGTCAAAGACAGGATGCAAGAAGTGGAACACTACATGATCCATCACCTGTCATGACTCTTCCATTTCCGTCTTTTCGTACACATATAATTTTGTCTATTTTGGTTGTGGTCTTTTCAGCTTGCGATCTGAACATGCAATAGCTCTCTTCCTCTTTGCTTCTCTTCTCTGCTACCAGGCCCCAAAGATCTCAGCCAGATAGCCATTTTCTTCCCCCCAATCTAGTATACATAAATAGTTTCCAGCATAAAGGGGACTAGCCTTGTAGCTCTTCTTGCAGAAAAAGTTTTTTATTGAACATAGGAGACCTGAAGAGTTGTGGGTAAGAGATAGGGAGTCCATTTATTTTATGGAGTTTTGAGTAATAGCACAGATAGTTATGAAAGAGCAAAATTGCCCAGCAGCCAATGCCTTTTCAGAGGTCCTATAGATTGCTTATTATGATTGTGGCCTAAGCAGGAATAGAATTTTGTCCTTTGAAAGTAAAGTATTTTTTTGAACTGAAAAGAGCATAATGGAGTCAGATTATCCTGCCTTACTAAGATTCTTTATTAGTTTTCTTTCTTTTAAAGAGGTTTTAAAAGACAGCAGTTAGTCTGAAACTTTAGTTGGATATCCAAATTTTAGTAACAGATACTCAAATTTCAGTGGGACCTTGACAGAGTTTAACTGCCATCAGAGTTTGAATGACAACTTACTTGTTTATCTTCAGATACTAGTAGCAATTATCTTCATCTGGGGGACTAGATTTTGATTGAGCAAGTATGCAAGCTAACATAGGGGAACAAGCAGGTAGGTCTCAAGTTCCAGACTACTTTTAAACCTTTTTTTTTTTTTTAAACCTTGAGTGCTATTTAATTTGCACTTGTTATACAGCTTCAGTTTACTCTGAGTTAATGTCCTTCCTACAGGAGTGCATGTTTTCATCAACACACTTCCCCCCAGGCAGTACATGGAATTATCTACTGATAATTTAACAAAGGAGGTCAGCAGTAGTGTTTCTCAGCACTGATGAATTTTTGTGTATGTGTTTTGCGTTAGTTTTTCATTGTCTTCTATGCTTTTCCTCTCAAATGCCTCCCGTCTGTAAGATTTGGTTTGGTTCCTCTGAATGGACCAATGATTACATGGCAAAAGTGCGTTAGCTCCTATCTTTCCCTCACCCTTTTCTCTCACCATTTTCAGCACTGGGAGCCCCATCACTACTGACCTTAACCAAACTAAGGCTTGCAGCCCTGTTTTCTATTGTGATACAAATAGGTTCACTGCAGTGAGATTTTATAGATTAAAACCTCTAGAACAGCCCTTGAATTTGTCATGGTCATAGTTTTATCTCGTTCTGCTTGCTGTATGGAAGTACTCTGTCCTACTGTAATTATTCACTAGAACTGCATTCATACGGAGGAGTTATTCTATTCATGGTATAATTTGATGCTTTGTTTTAAATCACTTAGATGCTAGCTTCTATGTTTTTAGCACAATCGGGTCATATTTCATATGCTCAAGATCTGGCTTAGTCGCTACAAGTCCACGGGAGCCAGAAACATTTGTCACTTGCAAACTACAGTAAATGGCTTAAAAAAAAAAAAAATTACATTCAAGCCCTTGGCTTCAGAAGCAAGTGGTTTTAGCTTGCGCTTAAAAATCAAGGGACACCTCTTAAACACTGCAATTTCACTACAGACCATTTATCTATGAATGAAAATGCAAGCAAGTCAATCTCAGCCTTGCTCAAAAAAGCAGTGCTATGCACATGGAGTGCTCTGTTGTTCTAACTTAAAATAAATTAAAAATCACACAAGTGTATTAGAAACTCAGTTATGTGTTTAGCTAGTAAAAGTTGCTACTGATGCACAGATATCATAAATTTGTGACGGTAAAACTTGGAATTGTACCAAAGAAATGAACTGGTTCCACTTCAGCATTGTTGGCTAGAGGCTGGTAGATGGCTTTCTTGAGAGCTTGATTAGCCAACAGATGGGGCTGTGGAGCTTATTTTCTGCACCTTCTTGTCTATGCTCCTGTAGTTCATCAAAAATTGATATTCAATGTAAATGTATCTTTTCATCTTTTTGTACTTACTCAGAGCAGTAAGTTCAAGTGACAAGTATGTTTGATGAAGCAAAGATGACTGCATTTTACAAAACAATAGTGAAACAAGTTATAAATACCACAATTACTGCTAAAGGGTGTATACTGTTGAAGGGAACACTGGGCATGTACTCTCATTTTGCTAAAAATTACTATTCAGGTTATTTTAGTTGACTTCTATCCATGGATTTTTATTTCCCTGAAATGAAATACCTGAACAGTAGACAATAAATGCAGAGTATTTAAACTTTTTTTTTTTTTTAATATTACTGTCTGTAAGTGAGGTCCTAAGTTTGAGCTTCTTGGTTCTAGAAAAGTCCCAATCTTTTCCCTAATTCTTTGGAGATGAATAGAAGTGTGCTTTATAAGCTCAGTCTAAATCTGTGGTTTTAAATAAGTCTTTGGCACAACATATATTACTGTGTCAGATACTCCCAATAGACTAAAAGGATTAATGAAAATGTGTTTTAAACCTGTTTCAGAGCCAAATAAAGTACACTAGACAGATTTGAGTAGTGGCTTTCAGATGATTGAGCTTAGAATTCAAGGTGAGTATTTGATAGCAAAAAAAAAAAAAAATACAGGGCATAGAGTTTGAAAGTTAATGGATGTGGTCCAGGTCACTGGCCTAACTTTATATAAAGCATACTTAAAACTTTAGTGGCATATTGCCAAAGCAGAAGTACATAATTTTCAGGAGCAAAGACCATTGCTTTTAGTTTAGGGAGGAATCTGCAACAGCGTGTACAAAGTACCCTCTTCCTTAGTATTGTATTCTAGAGCATGCATGATTTAGAAACTTCCTAAGCTAGGCTCTATTTCAGAACCATGGTGCTAAATCACCGTCAGTAATCACACTCACCTCTCTATTCATCTGGTATTTTTTGACATTGAGTAGGCTTGGCCTTCAGAAAGGACTGTGGCAGTCGGTTTCACAGTTGCATTTTGTGCTTTGTGAAAAGCAATTTGCTCTGTTTCAGGCCTATCATCTAATATTATTGAATGCTTATGTGTTTATTAATAAGGCCAAAATAGGCACCCAAATATTTATTTTTCTACTGATGAGTAATGACTGTTCAAACATAGGAATTCTTGGCTTTGGACAATTATACACAGGATTTAATCCTTTAGTCTGGCGTCTTACACAGTATATTTGCTAAGTTTATTTTAGCAAGTTACAGATTTATAAAGATTATACTATTATGTTACACTTCTTGCTTTAACAATTAATGCTTTGAGTTTTAGGATGAGAAAACATCTTCCTGTGGGGCAAGTAGATGTTAACTTGTATTGGTAATGTGCAAAACTTTCAGTACAGAAATGGAGTTTGGTAGAGCTGCCAGCTCTCTTAAGTCCTTTGCAAAGCCTTGTGTTTTGAGTTATTCTGAGAATCTTACTTTCTAATCTTCATGTTTAGGGAGAGTAATAGGAAGTTGGAACTTTAATATAGCTTGCAATTTTAAGAGATAAAGGTCACCCAACCATATTTCTATGTCTGTCTTCCCTCTGATTCTAGGGCCCAGTTTGTGAGGGCAATAGCAGTACACAGTACTGACTGCTTTACGCTCTCCTCAGTAGAGAAGGACCTCAGGTATACGGACTGGGAGTATGAGAAGACAACACGTTAGTTGGGTCTTTGGGTTCACAAGTGACTTTCCATTAGTTTTGTCAACACACCTAACAGTACCATATTTTTTTTAGGGAAGGTCTTTTACTTAAACTGAGAGTCTACATCTAAGTTAAAGATACTCTTTGTAAGTAAGGGGACTATTAGGGAGCAGAGTTTTTTGAAGAACTGAGTCTGTTAGTCATTCAGGTAGTAATGTCAAATATGTTAAGCTTTAGACTATACAGAAGTGTAGAGCTGAGAGGAGCCTCAGGATTATTCTTTTGCACTTGAAGTAGGGTTAAATATAGCTATATGATTGCTTAGCAGATTTTCACCTAATGTGTTCAGAACTCTCCAACAGCATGAATTCTGTTTTTTCTAGATATTCCACCCAAGTGCTTAGTTATTCTTTCAAGTTAAGATTCCCTAGTGTCTAAT